TTGTCGGTCGTGGGGCTTGAACTCTGGTCCTGGGCGCTGTCCCTCAGCTCTTCAGCTCAAGGCGAGCGCTCTACCACTTGAGCTACAGTGCCACTTCCGGTTTTCTGGTGGTTTATTGGAGATAGGAGTCTCATGGTGTCTCCTGCCAGGGCTGGCTTTGAACCGCGATCCTCAGATCTCAGCCTCCTGAGTAGCTAGGATTACAGGCGTGAGCCACCAGCCCCGGCGTTGCATGAGACTCTTATCTCCAATAAACTGCTCAAAAAAGGTGGAAGTGCACTGTAGCTCAAGTGGTAGAGAGCTAGCCTTGAGCAAAAGAAGCTCTAGGACAGCTCACAGGCCCAGAACCTGTAAAAAAAAAAAAAAATTAAATCCTTACTCCTAACATTCAAGTGTATGTATACTTGTGGTAAAATCTCCCAAAGTCAGCCTGTCTGGAAGACAAGAAAATGTTTATTTTGATTATATATCAGTTATGGCAATAAGATTTGGATGTCCCTTTCACAGAGTGGTTAAGTTCCATACGGGCCCATATTTTGCCCACTGGCATTGGACGAGCCCGGGCAGAACTCTTTGAGAAGCAGATTGTCCAGCATGGTGGCCAGATATGTCCTGCCCAGACCCCAGGGATCACTCACATTGTGGTGGATGAAGGCATGGACTGTGAGCGGGCTCTTCGCCTACTCAGGCTACCTCTGCTGCCTTCGGGTGTCCAGCTGGTGAAGTCAGCCTGGCTGAGCTTGTGTCTGCAAGAGAAGAGGCTGGTGGACACTGCTAGATTCAGCATCCTCATCCCTCACAGGTGGGCTGCTCCCAGTCTTTTCTCAAAAATTTTCTGGTAGCATCTCTTTTAAGAACAAATTTTCTTGTTATTATAAAGCTGCATATAGTGGGGTTATAGTTCCCCAAGTCAGGTAAAGATGACATTTCTTTTTTGGACGCTATCATTCCTTCCCTCACTCTCTCCCAGTGTTTCACTCCGGTAGCATCTTGAGTCTCTTCTTGAGTTATTCAAAATAACTTACTTTTTTTGTTGGTTTTTTTTTTTTTTTTGACACATTGGGAAGTGAGGTTTCAGAGGAGAGAAGGATTGGGGTCAGAGATAGGGTGAGTGTCTTCACCTCCTGTCATTCCCCTAGGTTCTTGGACCAGCCACAGCCCAGCAAAACGGACCAACACACTTCTGCTCCTCCTGGGACCCATGACATTCTGCCTAGGACAGCCCTAACTCCTCCCCCTCTTCCCACCAGAGCTGTCTCTCCTATCCAAAAGGCAGAAGAGGCATCAAGAACCCAAGCCCAGGTCAGGAGCCTCCCTATGTGGAAATTTGATAACAGAAATGGGGAGGAGCCAGTGATTATTCAAAAATTCCTAGGCTCTTGACACAGAAGGGCTGTCTTGATTATGAAGCCATTTAGCTCTTCCCAACACATCACTCCTAAGCCGTGTCCGCCTCCCACCACTGGGGATCCTAAGGCTGGGCACTGGGGAAAGCCACATGGAATTAGCCCCATACTTAAAAAGACCCAAGCCCAATACAAAGGCCCAATCTCAACTTTGAATCTGAGTAACAGTCACCCCCATAAACACAACCCCCACTTTTAAGGAGTTCTCCTCACAGAGGACAAGAAGTTTTTGCCTTTTTTTCTCCTCTCACTATGTCAAGCCCAGCTCAGATGATGAATCCAGTGATGGGGAAGGGCCACAGGTTAGTGCGGCTGATCTGGAAGCCTTAATCAGCGGGCACTACCCTACTACCCCTGAGGAAGATGCTGGTCCTGGCCCAGCCCTGGAGTCCTTGGATAAATGGGTGTGTGCACAGCCCTCGAGCCAGAAGGCAACCAACCACAACCTGCACATCACAGAAAAGTTGGAAGTGCTGGCCAAAGCCTACAATGTCCAGGGAGACAAGTGGAGGGCTCTGGGCTATGCCAAGGCCATCAATGCCCTCAAGAGCTTCCACAAGCCTGTCAGCTCCTTCCAGGTACTCTGGGAATAACGGGGACACATCTCTGTACCAGCTAGGGGTTTAGTGGAGGCACCAGTCACCAGTGGGCATCAGATTTAGTGGTCAATATCTTATGTTGTCTGGGATTGGCACAACCAAAACAAAATGGGAAACTGTTGAAAGCAGATCAGCAACATCTAGGTAATTGAAGTTAGATGACGATAGCTTAGGGGTCCATAATACTGTTCTATTTCTGAGTTTTTTACATAATGAAAAGTTTAAAGCCTGTTGTGGTGCCACATAGCAGTAATCCTAGCACTCAGGAGGATGAGGCAGGAGGATCATAAATTTCTAGCCAGCCTTAGCTACCCAGTGAAACACTATCTAAACAAAACAAGGGCTGGGGATGTAGCTGTGTAGGAGAACTCTTGCCTGGCCTTTATGAGATTCTGGGTTCCACCCTCAGTACTGAAAAACAAATAAACATATATTTAAACATATATTTAAAAAAAATTTATCCAGGTGCAGGTGGCTCAAACCTAGCTACTCAGAAGGATTAAGGATTAAGATTTTAGGTCAGACTGAGCAGAAAAATCCTTGGACTCTCTATCCAAAATTACCAGCAAAAAGCAAGTTTGGTGATGAGTGGTAGAGCACCAGTCTAACAAACTAAGCAAGCTTGAGGCTCTGAGTTCAAATCCCTGTACTGAAAACAATTTTTTAAACAAAAATTTAGACTCTGGGACTAGGTATGTGGCTTAGTGGCAGAGTGCTTGCCTAGCATTCATGAAGCCTTGGGTTTGATTCCTCATACCACATAAACAGAAAAGGCCGGAAGTAGTACTGTGGCTCAAATGGTAGAGTGCTATCCTTGAGCAAAAGAAGCTCAAGGATAGTGCCCAGGCCCTGAGTTCAAGTCTCAGGACTTGCCCCCCCCAAAAAAATTAGACTCTGGAGCCCAAGTTACTTAATTCTGAGCATCAGTGTCCCCATAAATAAAAAGGAATTAACACTAAGATCCCTTTACGTGCCCCTGTGAGGATAAAAGGAACTTAGTCTCTGTCGCACAGAACCTACATACAGTAAACTGACAGTCAATGTTGCTTTCTCTGGTACAGTAATAAGGGTAGTGGTGGTGGTGGTGAAGGTACTGCCCCTGAGCTTTATTGCTCAAAGTTAGTGCTCTACCACTTGAGCCACAGCTCCACTTCTGTTTTTGTTTTTGTAGTTTATAGAGATAAGACTCTCACAGACTTTTCTGCCCAGGCTGGCTTCAAACCACAATCTTCAAATCTCAGCTTCCTGAGTAGCCAAGATTACAGGGGTGAGCCATCAGTGCCTGGCTACTCCCTACTTCTTTTTTTTTTTTTTTTTTTGCCAGTCCTGGGCTTGAATTCAGGGCCTGGGCACTGTCCCTGAACTGCTGCTTTTACTCAAGGCTGGCACTCTACCGCCTGAGCCACAGCGCCACTTCCAGCTTTTTCTGTGTATGTGGTACTGAGGAATCGAACCCAGGGCTTCATGCATGCTAGGCAAGCACTCTACCACTGAGCCACATTCCCAGCCCTACTCCCTACTTATTATTGGTCTCTGCCCTTCCAGGAATCAAAAGACAGGTTACCTAGCATAGCATGTTTTCTGTCTAAACTTCCCTTTACCTGCACCTGAGCTCCACACAGACCAACAGTTGTTAGGCTGGCTTTCAGACAGACATTTGCTGAAGGAGTCAGCTTCTATCCTCTTCCCAACCTCTCATTCCTCTTCCTCACCTCTGCTGCCTCTTCTCTTAGGAGGCCTGCAGCATTCCTGGAATTGGCAAGCGCATGGCTGAGAAGATTATGGAGATCCTGGAAAGTGGACATCTGCGAAAGCTGGACCATATCAGTGAGAGTGTGCCTGTCTTGGAGCTCTTCTCCAACATCTGGGGAGCTGGGACCAAGACTGCCCAGATGTGGTACCAACAGGTTCCTAGTCCAGCTGCTGTTTTAGTATTGTTATGTCTCAGAGCCTCTGCTCCCATAGCTCCTTCCTCTCGGTATCGGGGTGACCTAAGTCCTGTTTCTACCTTATTCTCTGATGAAAATGAACCCAGACTATAATAAGAAAATTACTTTTCACCAGGGCTCATATATAGACCCCTCTTAACTTCCAGAATAGCCCTATGACTTGGTATCCTTGAAGAATAGTCAGTAGCAGGCTGGTACTATTGACTCACATGTATAATCCTAGCTACTCAAGAGGCTGAGATCTGAAGATTATAGTTCAAAACTAGCCTATGCAAGAAAGTCTGTGAGATTCTTACCTCCAGTTAACAACCAAAAAAGCCAGAAGTAGGCTGTGACTCAAGTGATAGAGCATTTGCAAGTGAGAAAGCTAAGAGACAGTGCTCAGGTCCTGAGGTCAAGCCCCAGGTAACATGCCTCCCTGACACACACAAACACGAAGAATAGTTAGGAACAAGAAGAGTGTTTCTCTGTCCAGAAAGTGCCTTCTGTCTGAGGCCAGGTCCTGGGATATATGTCTTTCTAGCAGTGCCCAGAATCATATGGGGAGCTTAATAATAGTGAAGAAGCCAGACCTACTGACAAATCAGAGTCAGGAGCCAGTGTTTCTAGATTTTGGCTTGTCCTCCATAACCCCACCTTTCCTAGGTCCCTTTCTGGGGTTAGATGTTTAGACCTTAGTCTGTTGACAGATGCCCCTGGAGTCAGCTCATTTGTGCCACCTTATCAGTCTTGGACCCTCATAGCCTCCTCTCTGGCTGCTTTGTTTTCCAGGGCTTCAGGAGCCTAGAAGACATCCGAAGCCTGGCCTCCCTGACTGCCCAGCAAGCCATCGGCCTAAAGCATTATGATGACTTCCTAGAGCGCATGCCCAGGGAGGAGGCTGCAGAGATTGAGCAGATGGTAAGCAGGTATCCCAGAGAAGTGAGGAGAGCCAGGCCCTGCTATAAGGTTCTGGATAGAAGCCAAAAATCCCTGGTACCTCAGCTGGGGAGCTTCACAGATAGAGGAAGCTGTGGGTCACCAGAGGCTGGAGAAAGAACAAGTTACAACTGAAGCTGCAGGCCCAGAGGAGGGCTGGTAGCTGTGTTGCTTGGGGGGGGTGGGGGTTTCAACACTGGCCCTCTGGATGGGAGTTCCCAGTGTCAGAGAGCTGGAGTGCTGGGTAAAGCTAGCCTAGAATAAAGGGGGGCCAGTTTCCTAAGTACTGGGTTTGGAAATTTGAATAAGCTTAGGTTAGGGCAGAGGTTTGTAATGCTTTTAGATTTATAGACTTCTTTAAGAACCTGATGAAAACTGTTCACTCTCTTGTACAGTGAACAAATGTGCCATGTTCTGTATCTTTTTCCAGCTGTATGGACTTTCCAAAGCCCACACATAGCTTGTCAGGTTAGGTTGCTGTTAGACTAGGAGTACAGAGCCCATAGGCTTAGTTGTAGGATTTGAAGAAGTTTCTATCAAGATTGAGTAAAGGTTAACCCTTCGTTAGAAGTGTTTCCTTTGTACAGGTTGCTGTTAAAATTTGTAGTTGTCGCCAGGCACTGGTGGCTCACGCCTGTAACCCTAGTGACTCCAGAGGCTGAGATCTGAGGATTGTGGTTCAAAGCCAGCCTGAGCAGCAAAGTCTATGGGACTCTTTTTTTTTCTTTTCTGCTTCTTTTTTTTTGTCAGGTGTGGGGCTTGAACTCAGGCCTGGGCACTGTCCCTGAGCTTTTTTGCTCAAGGTTAGTGCTCTACCATTGTGAGCTATAGTGCCACTTCTGGTTTTCTGGTGGATAATTGGAGGTAAGAGTCTCATGGATTTTCTTGTCCCAGATGACTATGAATCATGATCCTCAGATCTCAGCCTCCTAAGTAGCTAGGATTATAAGCATGAGCCACCAGCACCCAGCTTATGGGACTCTTATTAACTGCCAGAGTCTACTTAACCACCAGAAAACCATAGTGGAAGCTGGGAGGCTGAGATCTGAGGATGATGGTTCAAAAGCCAGCCTGGGCAGAAAAGTCTGTGAGACTCTTATCTCCAATTAACCACCAGAAAATTGGAAGTAGCTCTGTGCTCGAGTGATAGAGCACTAGCCTTGAGCTGAAGAGCTGAGGGACAGTGACCAGGCCATGAGTTCAAGTCCCACGACCGAACAAACACAAAAAAACATAGAGGAGCTGTGGCTTAAAGTGGTAGAGCACTAGCCTTGAGCAAAAAGAGCTTAGGGACAGCATTCAGGCCCTGAGTTCAAAACCCATGACCAAAAAAAAAAAAAAATTGTAGTTGTCAATGGCTAAGTATGAAGGTCAGTGATAGAGTATGTGTTTAGCATGCCCAAGGCTCTGGGTTTGATGCCCAGCATTGTAAAATTTGTATAAAATTTGTTAGCCAGTAATTCTAGCTACTCAGGAGGCTTTGAGCTAATTGTGGTTCAAAGCCAGCCTGGGCAAGAAAATCTGTGAGACTTTTATCTCCACTTAACCACCAGAAAAACAAGTGAAAGTGGAGGAGCTGTGGCTTAAGTGGTAGAATACTTGCCTTGAGCAAAAAGAGCTCAGGGCCAGTGCGTAGGTCCTGAGTTCTAGTCCCAGGATTGGCACCAAAAAAATAATAATTAAAAAAAAATAATAGAATTTGTAGCTGGCCAAGGTAAGGTTTGGGTTAGAGCTGGGTTAGAGATTGTTTATATAGTCTACAGTAGAGGGAGTCAGGGTACATAGGACTAGATGTGTCATTTGTTCAGCTGGAATCAGGATTAAGGGCTGGTGTTCTGGTAAGGTTCTTTCACTGTGGCTGAAAAGGACTTAATAGGAAGACTTTAGAGACACTGGCCTAATTTAGCTGAAGCAGCCTCCAGCCCCATTTCAGGTCTTGAAACTATGAAACCAGCGCTGGATGGACAGCCAGTCCCCTTTGTCCTCCCATCTCCACGCCATGGTGCTAGGGATGACACTGTCACTCAGCCACGGTCTCCAGGCACAGAGAATGTCCGGGCCAGCCTCCAGCCCTCACCCGTCAGAGCAGAAGAGGTTTTCCACCTGTCACCCCCCTTTATGCCTCCATATAGGGTTCCAGTTTTAGGGGGTTTGATGGGATTACTCATCTGGACCTCCTCCTCCCATTCTCCTTGGAGGCCCTTAGAAGGGCTTGAGGGGATTAGCAGAGCCTTCTGCCTGTCATGGGAATTGAGGTGTCCTGGTGGTAGGTATCCAGGGCCCTGGAGATCTGGTTGTCCTGGGGTGGAGGCGGGGATACATCTACATACGAAAGGGTGCAAACTAATGGGCTTATTGCTCCTTGGCGAGGGAGAATCCCTGAACTGACAGTCTCCCAGCTCTGTTCCTCCTGCAGGAGGGAGATGATATGGGCCTAGGCTCAGATCAGCCCCTCTGCTTCCTTTCTTGACCCTCCCACAGATGCAGTTAGATTTCTGTGCTCCATTTTCTCCCAGGCCTGGGCCCAGGGCTTGCTGCCAGCCCCCTGCTCAGGCCTCAAGCCCCATCTCATGTACTCTGCCTTTAGTTCTAAACCCATAGACAGGTGGAGCTGCCAGGGCCTGGCCTCTTGGTTTTAGTGGTGTTTCACAGACCTGGACACATGGGTATAGGTTGGGGCAAGGCCAAGAGAATGTGTCCCAGCTGTTCTTAAAGCAGTGAAAGGTGAATGCCCTCCCACAGAGGCAGAACCTAGGTCTTCAGTCTCTCCTCCCTCTTGCCCCTGCAGTAGAGGCTGTTTCTTCTCTGATCCTGTGGGGCCAAGAGAGAGCAGTGGTCCCTGGCGTGGCCTTTAGACTGGTAGCAGGCATGGAGATTGTCTTGTGTTTTTTGTTGTTGTTGTTGTTTGCTTGTTTGTTTGCCAGTCCTAAGACTTGAACTCAGGGCCTACCCACTGTCTCTGAGCTTCTTTTGTTCAAGGCTAGCACTCTACCACTTGAGCCACAATGCCACTTCTGGCCTTTTCAGTTTATGTGGTACTCAGGAATCGAACCCAGAACTTCATGCATGCTATGCAAGCACTCTACCACTAAGCCACCTTCCCAGCCCTGTAGATGGTCTTTATAGAGTGAGGGTGCCATGATCAGGGAAGGTACTCTCACAGGGAAGAACAGTCTAGTGGGCTCTAACTCCAGAGCTGCTCACCCATATCCTTTCCTAGGTCCGGCTCTCAGCTCAGGCTTTCAACTCTGGGCTGCTGTGTGTGGCATGTGGCTCATACCGACGGGGGAAAGGGACCTGTGGCGATGTGGACGTGCTCATCACTCACCCAGATGGCCGGTCCCACCGGGGCATCTTCAGCCCTCTCCTCGACCGCCTTCGACAGCAAGGTATGCACTCCATCACTGGGGGAGTGGATAGACGGGAGTGGAGGGGTAGCCACAGGAAGGCACAGTTCAGCTCAGTGTTCAAGGCGAACTTGACAAGAATTCCATTTCACCAGGTAACGAGTCCTCAAGGACATGACACTGAGCCTTATAGCACCCACAGGCTGAAGGTCTCACCCCTGTGACGCTAGCAGAGATAGGCAAAATTATTATCCACATCTCATAAATTAGGAGATGGGCCCAGAGGCGGCAACCGTCTCTGCTCAGACACAAATCCAGGTGAGAAGGCAGGAGATCAGGAGAGCCGGGAGGGTAGGCGATCCCGTGCCTGGCTCCACATCCTCCCTGCCATCCCCTGTGTTGGGCCAGGGTTCCTCACAGATGACTTGGTGAGCCAGGAGGAGAATGGCCAGCAGCAGAAGTACTTGGGCGTGTGCCGTCTCCCAGGGCCAGGGCGGCGGCACCGTCGACTGGACATCATCGTTGTGCCCCACAGCGAGTTCGCCTGCGCTCTGCTGTACTTCACTGGCTCTGCCCACTTCAACCGCTCCATGAGGGCTCTGGCCAAGACCAAGGGCATGAGCCTATCAGAGCACGCCCTCAGCACAGCTGTGGTCCGGAACACTCAAGGCTCCAAGGTGTGTGGCCAAGTACTGCCCACGCCCACCGAGAAGGAGGTCTTCCGACTCTTAGGCCTACCCTATAGAGAACCGGCTGAGCGAGACTGGTGACCCCTGATGGCTGGAGTTCGGGGGGACTCCGCTGAACTGACCATGTAGTACCCCTTTGGCTTCAGCTGGCTGAAGCCCTCTATCTCAACCACCTGCTGTCTTCAGTGAGCCTAAGCCCAGGGCTCTGAGCCTGGTCCCCTGGGCCTGCCTAGCACTCTCCCAGACAGAAACAGGCTGCTGCTCTCCACAGGGCCCCCTGCCCCATGTAAGTTGGAACAGATGGCTGGTGTGAAGCCAGCTTCCTGTGCCGAGGGCTCAGGATCCCCGTTCCTGCCCTGAGAAAGCTCTAACTGCTAGAAATGGGATAGAGGGCTGCTGGGGGGAGAGGGGTACAGCTGCGGGCCCTGCATCATCTAAGACCCTTCCAAGAAGAATGAGCCATCCCACATGGAGTCCCTGCACCACTTCCTGACAGCTGGGGCTGCTAGGAAAGGTGCATCAGGCTCCCAAGGATGGCTTCTGAAGTCCCAGGGGCCCAGTAAAGTGCATTTGATATGCAGCCTTCCCCGTGTCTGTGAGCTCCGTGTCTGTGGCCTCCCTCTGCCCAGGCAGTTAGGAGATGAGGGTGGACAGCAGAGGCCAGAAGTGCTGCACTAACTCCCTAGCCAGGCCTAGTCTAGAGAGCTCCTGAACTCAGAATGGGCTCTGGGGTAGCTGGTTGTAAAGAGGGAAAACCAGTCGGGCATGAGGGGCTTTGCTGCCTACCTGTCAGCATCTCTTGTGGGCCCTGCCCAAGACCTGCGTAGTTGTAAGTCATGAACAAAGGTGACAAGATTTGTAGGAAATGGTGGGAGGTGTACAACTGGTGGGGGATGGAGTGGTCATGGAGGCTGCCAGGAGCAGAGGAAGGGTAGAGTAGCAGGAAATGGCCTACTTGAAAGGTGTTAGATGCTCTATTTGGGGATAATTAAGGACTGATTTTAGAAGAATGTTGGGAATTAGGAATGCCAGCCAAGTAGAAGCTTGAAAATGAATCCACAGGATTAGGTTTGGTGGAACAAATGAGGGCCAGTCCACAGGTAGGCCAAGCAGATGTTCTGAGTTTGGACCTTGTAGGATGGGGGATTGATGGGGCTAGGTGTCTGGAAGGAGATAATGAGAGATGTGATCTCAGAGGCAGGAGAAGGCTGTCTGGGAGGATCCTGGTAAGGTCCTGTGTTGTGGATGATTTTGAGGTAGAATATGTGGGGAATTTAGGCCCAAAGATGGGATCTAATCTCCAAGGTGGCAGATGTAGGGTGAGTGTGTGTGTGTGTGTGTGTGTGTAGTTTTGTGATCCTTTTATCTACAGAGTCCCAGAGCTTGTCTTTGCCTTTCTTGTGTCTTTGTGTCAGTCTTAGGATCCAGCTGGGCTTAGTGGGGCACACCGTTAAGCCCAAATACTTAGGAAACTGAAGCAGACGATCACAAGTTCAAGGCTAACCTGGCTACATAGTTAGATCCTGTCTCAAAAAAAAACAAAAATAGAAGCCTGGAATGGGCCTCTAACTCAAGCCTAGAGCCCCTGACATCTGTTGATGGGGTCTAGAGCACCACTCTGCAGCTTAGTAATGACCTGAAAGGTGTCCTTTCCCGAGGCCCTAAGCCCTTATAAGGAGCATGTCTCTCTGTAGGCCTGTTCCCAGGGAGACCCAGGCTGTCTGGCATGGACAGGTGACTTCCTAGGCTCTATAGCTATTAGGGGTTCCCTTGGGCTTCCATGGCTGGGAGCAGGAAGGGATGCTGGACACTGGGTCAAGGATGACCTCTTATACACAGTTCCCAGAACACTGGGAGTGATAGAGCTCTCTGAAATCAAGAGTCTAACTCCATGTTGATACCCTTCCCATATGCTTTAACCCCTTGCTCCAGAAGACTCAGAACTTGAGCTGCCCTCAAACCATACAGACTGCTGACCCACCTCCTGACAGGGGTGACAAGAAATCCTGGGCTGGAGAATGCCTCCACCCTCCAGGAACCCAGGTGGGGGTGATGTCCTGGCTGTGTGATGTTATCAGGAGCCAGGAGAGCCATGAAGATGGACAAGCTCAGAGTCTCGGGAAAGGCTATAGTGTGAGCACAAGGGAAGTTCTTGGAGTCCAAACTAAGTAGTAGGTGTTGTCAAGTGTTCCCAACCACCTAAGAACCTGAGCCTGGCTCTGGTGAGCTCAGCACTCATCCTGCCAGAAAGAGAGAGTGAATTTCAGAGCCCTGGGAGGAAGCTGGTGCTGTCTAGCAGCCCAGCTTCCCACAGACCTACCTTGCAGTCATCTCTGGTTTTGATAGGGAAGAATGGGACCCTACAAATCTGCCTCCAGCCTCAATTAGACCACACATGAGGTAGGGAGAGTAATGGCCCTTAAAGAGACCCATAACGGTATTCCTCAAGCCGGTGGATGCGCTCTTCCTTGACTAGCAGATAAGGTTAAGCTTTCTGAGATGAGGCCCCAAATAAAAATTCCTTAGGAGTGGAGAACCTATCCCCATTAAGAGAAATGTGCCCATGGCTGGAAAGTCAGAGAGATACAATGTTCCTGGTGTCAGTGTGGAATGGGAACCACCAGCCTAGAATGTGTATGATCTAGAGAAGCTGGTGAAGGTGTCTCCAGAATTCCTCCAGATTCTATTCTAGGTCCTCCAGAAATGACGCCACCTTGCCAACAGCCATTCTTCCCAGTAAAACCCTATGTGTTTCCAACCAGTAGAAGTGTGACATAACTAGTCTATGTTGTCTTAAGCCATTAAGTTTGTGGCCGTTTGTTCCTGTGATAATGCTGCATGCAGAGCCGGGGCGGGGGGTGGTGTGTGTGTGTGTGTGTGTATGTGTGTGTGTGTGTGTATGTGTGCTGGGGACAGTGGGTGTGCAGTATGTGTGTGGGGGGGGCTGGGGACAGTGGGTGTGCAGTACAGTGAGGTGGAAATCCTCTTATGTACCTGCCATGGTATGGGAGAAAGAAGCCTCTTTTTTTTTTTTTTTGATTGGTTGTGGGGCCTGAACTCTAGGCCTGGGCGCCGTCCCTCAGCTCTTCAGCTCAAGGCGAGCACTCTACCACTTGAGCCAAAATGCCACTTCAGGTTTTCTGGTGGTTTATTGGAGGTAAGAGTCTCACAGACTTTCCTGCCCAGGCTGGCTTTGAACCATGATCCTCAGATCTTAGCCTCATGTGTAGCTAGGATTACAGGCGTGAGCCACCGATGCCCGGCTAAAAGAAGCCTCTTGAACCTGAGCCTCAGCCCTCTGCACCTTCTGCATTGGCTGCCTCAGTTGCCCAGGACTCAAGTCCTCTCTGGGCTATCCTGCCCTGGCCCTGCCAAGCTCGGCAACCTCAACCTTTACCCAGGGCCTGAGATGATGACGTGGATCATGGCCATGTCTTGCTATGAAAGGCAAACAGGATAAACCAAACTTGGCCTGTTGGGTTCTAGGTACACATGGGGAGCAGCGAGGGGCAGTGGGACAGGGTCCTCCCAGCAGCACCCACAGTGGGCATCGCAGTGTGAGCCAGCCCAGCCATATCCCAGCCCAGAGTTCCAAGGGTTGAACTGCCCCAGCCTAGGCTGGGCTGCTAAGCTCAAGACCTCCAGTGTGGATATGGCAGATAGATTTCCAGAATCCTTGAGCTGCTGGGAAGTCCTGCTTCTGAAGACCCCTGGGCCCAGAGGTGAGAAAGCTCTAAGCATGCGTCTGGGGGATGAATCGGAGCCAGGCAAGGAGGGCCACTACCGCTGCTTGTGTGACTGAAGCCAGTGGTGGCACCTCTGTCTGCAGGCCGTGGGCTTGGCCTTGACTAAGCAGGTCCAAAGCCCCGGACATAGTGCACCTCCTGTAACCTGCCAGCTCAGCGCATCTGTCCACACCCACCCCTCAGTTTGGCAGCACTGTGTGTTTGTAGGTGCCCCTGGGTATGTGTCCATGTGGTCATTGTCTGTTTACCTAATATCCACTCCTGGCCCTGTGTTTGTGTGTTTGAGACTGTATGACCGTGGCTGCACATCCAAGGTCTCTGGGGATAGCCCCTGTGTCCTGAAGGTCTCAAGTCCTGAAGGCTGAAGAGGATCACTGGTGGTGTTAGCCAGGGACTGTGGAAGGTAGTGGCACCCTAGCTGGGCTCTGGGCTCTGGGTCCTCGTGTCCATGGAGGAGGCCGCAGGGCGGACCGCCTGCGTCAGCCTTGAGCGGCCATCAATAGCGCGCGGTTAATTAATTTGATGGGAACAGCAGGGACCGCCGTTTGCATTTAGTGAAGTTCCAGGAACTTCCAACCTCATCTTCATAATTGGCCTCATAAATTGTAAGAAAGAGAGAGATCAGCAAAGCGGGAGGGAGGAGGGGCCGCCCGTCCGTCCTTATTTAATTTTATTGCTGAAATTCATCTTTTTAGCCTCCTCCGCCTGAATCGGCTCTCCCTGCCGGATTTGCCTAATCATGATAAATTAATATTCATTTCCCTGCCTCTTACCCAGCTCCCGCGCTTGGATGGAGTTGGGGAGGGTCTCCTTCCAGCCCCTCTTCTAAGCCTTGGTGGGAGCCTGCTGGGGTAGGAGCGCACCACCACCACACAGCTTGTGTGCAGCGCTGAAAATGGCCCCTGGGAAGGACAGGTGGGATCCTAGGAGAAACATGGGACTCTGCTCCATCTTTGTGTGGGGAGTGGGGGCTCAGAAATCGATGGGGACTGTCACAGGGCCCAGGGCACTAAACCTGCCCGGGTAGGAAGGGCAAGAAGAGCTGAGAAGGCCTTCTGAAGACCCAGAGGCTGAAATGGGGGTTGATAGCATGAGCTTGGGAGCAGAGACCGGAGGCCTGCTGGATTAAGAGGTGAGGTGAAGGGGGGGCTCACTGACCGGCCCTTTGCCCTCAGCCCCCTCAGCAGCCACATGCAGGCCACTTGCCACGTGCAGACTGCAGGAAGATTCTTTGTGGTGAGTAGGCCCCATAAGCAGCTGTGGTCTCAGACTGACTGAAGTCGTCGGTGCTCCTCGCAGCCCAGCCAGCTGGATGGGTGGGCCTCTTCCTCCTCCTGTGCCGAGCTAGCTGAGCTGAATGCTGGGTGGGTGTAGTAGGTTTTTTTGTTTTGTTTTTTTGTCCGTCGTGGGGCTTGAACTCTGGGCCTGGGCGCTGTCCCTCAGCTCTTCAGCTCAAGGCTAGTGCTCTACCACTTGAGCCACAGCGCCACTTCTGGTTTTTCTGGTGGTTTATTGGAGATGAGTCTCAGGGACTTTCCTGCCTGAGCTGGCTTTGAACCACGATCCTCAGATCTCAGCCTCCTGAGTAGCTAGGATTACAGGCATGAGCCACTGGTGCCCAGCTAGCTTTTACTCATTCTCTACAGAGCCCTTCAGAGGTCAGCATGGAAATGGTTCTGCTCTTCTCTGGGCAGTAGGACCCACTCCTGCAGTCTGGTGCCACAGTTACGTGAGTCCTGGGAGGGGTATTCCTATTTCATCCAGCTCCTTTCCCCATTTACAAATGAGGAAACTGAAGGCCAAAGATGGCCAGGTGACTGGCCCAAGG